AGAGCACCCAGCCACCAGCCTCACCCTGGGAGAACTTTCTGCTCATCACTACCCTCCTTTCACTCTCCTGAAATGTTAATGCATATTCAAACAATACATGAAAATAACTGGGAGACAAACCACCACCGAAACACCAGCCCTCATTCCTGAGTAAGCCGCTTACAGTCAATTGCCTTTTTCCTGGTTTAATTTTCTTTGTGCATATTATAATGCTCTGTGTGCTCAGTGACAATCACTACGGTGAAGCTGCATTTCATTTCCTCTGACCACTAAAACTGTGATCTGCTTTACTTGCCTGAAACAAGTATCATGCACAGATTTTAATTATTTAGTCATGATTTAGCATGCATGATGTATGGGTATCATTACCAATGGCTGCAATATCTCTTGGCTATTTAACATGAGGAAGATGCTCTTTGTTATTAACATCTGTTCATCAGGGACACAGACCTTCTCAGCATTACTAGCACCTTCTGTTTTTGTCAGGAGAAGGGAAAGTGATCAAGAGCCTCATCAGAGCCTAATTTGGCACTGATGTGTTTTCCTTTCTCTTAGCATAGCCTAGATCTAAATTGTCCCTTAAAATTACAGCAGCTTTTAAAATACTGCTCAATAACTAGATCTGACTAGGCGTAGACTAAGATGGTACAGATACAAATCTAACATTATTTAAATGTTATGGTTGTGTGTGGGCTAAAAGATGAAAAATAAGTTAATAAAAGATGTGGTGGAATTAGAAAATAAGATTAGTGAATTGCTTTAGCCGTGAAACCATCTTCTAGCTATGAAAAAATGGCTAATCTTATTTTTCCCCCACTAAGCTCATTCTAGTTTTGATGCAGCCCAGTGAAGGCCTCACAGCAGAAATGTCCCCGTCACATTTACCTTGTTATTATAGCAGGCATTTTATTAAGCCTTTTAAGGACATATCTTCAGTTCACAGTAAAACAAGGCTCTGCTTCTTTGCTGTTTTTCTCCAGTGAGTTTACAGCAAAGGCCCTGAGCCATTTGTAGGAGGGTGTCTCTGCTAGGCTGCTTTCCAGGTGGGTTCAACCTGGTGTAATTTGAGGAAAGACTGCACTTGAACCTTTTTGCAGATCCCTCTTAAAGCAAAGGTAAACAAAAAAAGGGATGTCTAAGAAAGCATTCGATCCTGTAAGTGCTGCCAATACCAACTAAATATAACAATGTTTGTGCTCCAGACTATTGTCTTATTTCTACCTAAAAGCATCAAAATCTGATCATGTACATAAAAGAGTAATCTTCTCATGAATATACTCTACATGATTAAAACTCCAGCTCCCTATGGTTTAGACCTGGAAGACATTTTAATTATCTATCTATCTAACATCTTGCTATTTCTGAAATTTTGACTGCAAATATTTCTGACATAGTGTTTCATGGAGTATCCTTTCCTCATACTGTGCTTTTTTTATGCTCCAGATGTACAGTAAACAACAAAAGCTTGTTTTATCTTTTACTCTCCATCAGATGAAAGTGAAAGAAAACTGAAAGAAAAGAAAAACTTTTAAAGAATATGTTTTAATCATAGATATCCTGCTTATAATCTAAAAGTCCCATAACAATCTCAAATATGCTTTACCAAATAGACCCAAACTACACAGAACTGGAAAACCTAAACATTAACACTAGTGTAAATAAATAAATTAATAAAAAATCAGCAAAGAAAAACCTTACCACTTTCTCATTTTGCCAGGCAAAAATAGTCAAAATTTTGCACATAATTATAACTCTTAAGCAATTTTAGCAGATTTCAGTACCATCCTATCAAAAACTAACAACACAGAAAAAGAAATTGCCATGATAATCATAAACATGTTTTGATTCTGAATATATAAGTAAGAGCAACTCAAATGCCAGGGTGATTTTCCAAATGTAATGCAGCCTACAGGGTAATACTTCTACTAATAATATGTGAGAACCTAAATGTAGCATATGACAGGCAAATACCAAGTTTACAGTGAAATGCTTTTAAAGTTTGTATTAGAGTGACCACATAAATAGTTTTAAAGCAAGGGGTTATTATATATTCTGAATGAGAAATATGAAGAAACTTGGACAGACTCAATCTGTGCTGAATGCTTGAGGGTTTTCTAAAATTGCCGTATCACTTTTTAAGCTAGAGTAATGGCCTGATTGTTTAATATACCTAAAATACTGTCAAATACTTTCTCAAGTTTCCTAGATTTGTCCCTGAGTTTAACTGATATGAAGCAAATGACTGATAACTTTCAGACCAGGTTTTGACCCGTAGAAAATGTCTACACTATGAAAATGAATGCAGTAATAGGATGCGTGAGCTGGTGAAGATTTTAGCTTGCAAGGCAGAACTGTGCTCTCTAGCTTGTCTAAGCAGGGTTTAACTTCGTTACCCAAGGAGTATTCGCTGCTGCATTTGGCAGCCTCTCACAGGATGTGCTAGCTGAAGCACAGCAGCATGAAAACATGGCTGGCATCTGAACCAGAGTCTTTGTGGCAGCTGGCGCCCAGACCTGTGCCAGCATGGGCTGTGGTTTGTGACGCTTCAGTGTTGCTGTGTCTGTTATCTTCAGTCAGGTGAATAGTGAATTCATGATTTGTAAACATGTTTGTAAAAGAAGTCTCTAAACTAAGAATATGGTTTGTGAGATAGGTCTATAAATATGACCTTTTCACATGAGAAGAAGAAAACCAAAGAAAAATGAGCTAGTGAATTCATATGTACTTTGTAAAATGAGATTAACCACTTTGATGATAATCTAGTTTGTGCACAATATGTACTTATATAAATTCATCAATTGATTCTTACATCCATAACCTCATGTTGAGCAGGCATGTATCTTTAGAAAACCCGCTTTTTTAAAAAGCAGTTATGTCAAACTCATTTTGTATGATGGGCTTGATCTGATATCCTGGTGCTCGGTAGCAAACATGTTCAGCAGAAGTTATTAAGTTAAACAGTATTAATAGAAAAAGAAGCTCTATTGTTATTCTATTTGCATTGTTAACCAATAGGTGCCTGTTAATAACTCTAGCAGGGAGACCTGGGGGGAAATAGATTCCTATATCTTTTCTCTGCTGCCTCTTTTATGCTCACCTGAATAAAAATGGGACTTCAGAGGCTGGTGTGATCAGCTTGAATTGTGACTTATTTGTGCCATGGGTGAAGGGGCACCGGAGGGCCTCCTCCGTGTATTATCTCAAGCACAGCAACACAGACACTGCTCTCAGAAGCAGGCAAATGCACCTGGTCTCCTGCATATAGGGCCTCTATGCCTGCTAGATCTATGATGGCTGTGTATATGCTCAGCTTCAGGGTTGTCTGGCTGTGTTTCCAGAGAAGGAGGTAGAGGAAAGGTAAGTTATCTCAAAGCCAGTCAGACCCAGCTGGGGTCTGCTAAGTCAACATAGGCTGTTCTCATTGAACTAAACATGTGGAAATCTTCTTTTGGCAGCAGCCAGATTTCAAAAGGGCTTTTTTGGATAGGTATATTTTGCATGTATTAATGCATGGACCCATTAATGTTTAACACTGACCTTAATATAATGAACTCTGGGAAACCAGGTGCTTAGAGCATAATGCAGGTATATTGAACAGCTCTGCATGAGACAGTTTGATACAGCAAAACTCATACCATTTTGGAGTTAATTGGTTAGTCTAACTGAACCAAGTCTGAATTTTCAGAGAGATGGCAAGATACATGTGTGCTGTGCTGGGTTTGAATTTTATAACACTTTTTTTCTCTGGGCTTTTGCACCAACAATAACCAAGTCCCTCATTCTCAAGAATGAAGTTGGTTGTGTTTCACAGAATCATAGAATGGTTTGGGTTGGAAAGGACCTTAAAATCATCTGGTTCCAAACCCCCTGCCATGGGCAAGGATGCCTCACACTAGACCATGTTGCCAAAGGCTCTGTCCAACCTGGCCTTGAGCACTGCCAGGGAAGCCACTTCTTTGGGCAACCTGTTTCACTGCCTCAGCACCCTCTTATATCCAATCTAAACTTCCCCTGTTTAAGTTTTAACCTGTTACCCTTTGTGCTATCACTACAGTCCCTGATGAAGAGTCCCTCTCTGACATCCTTGAGGGCGCCCTTCATATATTGGAAGGCTGCTATGAGGTTTGATGGCACACCCAGATTACATGCAACACACCGTGAGTTGCTGCTGAACTGCTCTAATCTACACAAACTGCTGTAGCAATTCCTCTAAGCTGAATAAATGTAAAGTATTTGGAGTGGCTTCTGAAAGCACCATGTTCCACTTGAAAATATTAATTAACTGCTTCTTCCCCAAAACACACTCCAAGCCTTGTTCTCCTTGGAGAACAGGAGTGTTTTGAACATGTATCTGGGGTAAAGACATTTTTAAAAAATGCCTTGAATGCTCAGCTCTGATTTGATCTATAAGTACCTATATTGTCACACTTTCATAGTTCACCTGCACTTATGCAAGTTTTGATAATTTGGATGATGTCATAAGAGTTTTCTGAGCTTCTGCTTCTGCTCAGCATCAGCACATCAGGCCACATAGAGAAGTCATGCATGCAAGATTTTGACCATTAATGTTCTGATATGGTAACAAGTTATGGGGCTATCAAAATTCACTGTCTCTTCACAAGGCAGCCTTATGTTGGCAAAAACAAATGCAGGGAATTGAATTTACATTAGGCTTCCTTTCAAGTATATATATATATATATATAAAGCTTTAAGTTAATAGACTAATGATAGCCAACCATGATACTGCCTGAAAAATTCTGGGATAACCCATACCACATTTCATGCTCAGAATGGAGCATATTCACTTCTGAACCAGGGTGGCAAAGGTGCTGGGTTGTCGCCTTCCCTGTGCCATCCGCGCAGGGTTAACAGCAGCACTCAACCTGGGAGCTCTGTGCACCTGTGGGGCCCAGCCCCACCCTGCATGGGGCTATCAAAGCCTGGGCATGGTTGGTCGCTGGAGAAGTAGTGAGGCATCTTTGTGGGCTGGCCAGGAAGCAGCTGACTGGAAGGCTTTTCTTGTGCTACTTTGGCTTTAAAACCTGGAGAGGTTGACTGGAAGTGGTAAGTGATTTACATGGATGTCATAGTTGTGGAGCCATGCTGGGTAATGGAAAGCAGTGCTGTTTTAAAGAGGTGTGGCAATAAGCAAGAGAGGTTTGTGAAGGAGAGAGTTCCCGGTATCGGGTTAGTCTGCTGTAGTGGCTGTTCTTGTGGCTTCCAACTTATTTCACGTCAGTGATTCTTAGGAGTTATACGTGACTTTGGTGAGAGGGGTTATTTAGCAGAGTGGAAGAATGGTATTCATTCATAATCTTCATAAATAGGAAGAAATAAGTGTGGACCTTCAAAAGGCTGCTGGCTGATTTCCTGAAAAACAAATTTCCAGAAGCAAATACTGTTATATTATTGAAAGATGAACCCTTAACCAGTCATGAAAAACTAATTGTTTTAAAATGTTTTATGTGGATACTGTAAATGTAGTGGTGATATGGAAATGCAGGGTTAAGTTTTGGTAAGAGCTTACATTTTGGCTGGGATAGGAATGGTGAGTTCCTGGGTTTTGACCCAGCTTTGGATAAATGTTATATAATGTTTCAAATCCAATGGCATTGCAACCATGTGGAGCTAGTTTTCTGGTGCTGGACGGTGAAGCTGGGTTGATGTGCTTGGTGGTTTTTGTTCTTTTTTTTTTTTTTTTTTAATTTAATTCAATTTTTTATTTTATTTTCCTTATTTAGTCTGAGTTGTGAAGAATGCCAAAATAACAGCAAGAAAACAAAGTTGGTGAAGTACAAGCGGTAATAGGTCAAGTATCCAAATATTGTCTTCTGTGTTTTTTTTTCTCTTTGCTCTGAAGCAGCTTCAGAGCTTGAAAGGCATTTCAGTCTACTTAATCATTGCTAATCCAACAATTCAATACACTGAAAATTGTTATTTATGCCATGAAATTGCTCTAAAGTTTAAAATGTCTTATGTGCCAGCACAGCAAGTTTCCCTTGAGGTTCTGTCAGAGCTGCATTTAAATGGCTTTGAGTCCAGGTAATTCCAGGCCAATTAGCTTCAACCACACTGAACCTGGAAGACGGCCTCATTCAGGAAGTGGCAAGTTTCATGCCTAGAAAACCCCACTCATATTCTGCTCCAGGGGCTGGGTATAAATCTTTAGTGTTCTCATTAATCTTTTAAGCTGGGGAACACAAGCATCTGGTAGCTTGCACTTTCAGAGCTTGGTAACAATGTCTCCAACTGGTTATTTCACTTCTTTTGTCTATAATAATGCCCCATTTCATTCCCCATGTATTATTCATATAGATCTTAAATTTAATCACCAACCCACTAAAGTTAAAATCACACTGCACCTGAGATACAAACACCATCACACTGGATTTGAGAACACAATATGCCTTATCATAATTACTCCCATGCTGAGGTAAGTTTCCCACCTTTTTTTGTGATGATGCCAAGGCTTTTCTGGTTATCAGTTCTTTTTTGTACCTGTAGAACAAATGCAACCTTTTACAGTTCTTTTCCTCTTGGGTCCTTTCTTCTCTGCACAGCCAAAATTTTTACATTTCATGCGCAGCCTTCTGGTTAGCTATTTACTGCCACATGTGAAAGTAGTGGTAGCCATTTAGGTATGTGCTGCCTTTGACTGTTGAAATCACTGTGTGCGCCCTATTCTCCTGGGAAAACCGCCACAGGGTGCTCCTCATGTTACACAGGGAACATCTCCTGCAATAAGCCCAGGCAATGTCCTTTGCCTGATCTGGCAGTCTGAGCACTACGCTCATCCTGCCTGGCAGTCCCTGTCCTCATTTGCTCACTAGACAATTTTGTGGGTTCAGAAGTGAACAAAGACACTACTATTGACTTGGCAGAGTATTTCTACAAACAGCTCTTTGGTATTGTTGGGATAGGCATTATAGCAGCATTCCTGTGCAGTGGGACAGTGTGTGGCAGTGGACTGGCAGCATGCCTGTTTGCATGGCAGAGGGGTTCTGCCAGAGCCCTGAGCATTTCTGTTATCTGTGGCACCATGGAAATAAAGCTGGTCTTGTAGGTTGGTCTTTCTGTTTAATTACTGAATCTTGCCTGGAAGTCTGTGGACTGGCTGGCCTTTTACCTATTCAGAGTCATAGGTTTCCACTGTTGGTTATCTCTCTCCTCTGTAGTTTTCTGAGCAGCATAATTTCTTATTTGTTCTTGGTTCCCTAGTCTTTTCATTACCATGTGCTACCCTGCTATCTTGAGTTCTGATGATGCCTCCTTACAATATGTATACATAAATATATACATAATATGTATAATACATATATGTATATAAAAGTAATATAAAATAATTTTTTTTGGGGGTGGTCAATTATTGCACGACTATACTTGTATCTTCAACCTGTATTTTTGTCAAGCCACGTAACAAACCCCTGGTTTTGGAGGTGGGTTGGGGAAAAAATACTCAAAATTTTAGGCAGGAAAAAAAGTGGCCTATGAGCTGCTTAGCTGCAATTTATTTGGTATATAACTAATAAGTATCAAATGTATTAAAATAAAAATTGCTAGAAGTCTGTCATTTGAACATTCTTTAACTTTTTAATGGAAAGCAAACCCAAGTTAAATGCAAAAAGAAAATTAAATTAGAATTGGCTTGTGTTAAACATGATAATGTTGATGCTTTGTTCAGTTTCTCTGTATTTTCTCATGTTTTAGATGAAGGTAATATGTACAGTTGGTGCTTTGTACAAAAAGCTGAACTTTTCTATGACCTTTGCAATACCTGGGGTCAACAGTGCATAGATAGTGAGGAAAGTTTTATTTGGATTTGTTGCCTATCTATAATTAAAACCACTAATGTTGTTCTAATGCTGCCTTTGTTACAGAAATCACAGTGGTAAGCACTACATCTCACCTTATGTTATCCTCAAGAAGCCTTTCATGCTTATGTATTTAATTATCTAGCTTTCTTTTAATGTATTTGTCAAGCAGTCTTAAATATATTATTGCAATACCATATCTGCAATAGTATCTCCACATAAACAAATGTGCTTTTTGACTACAGCATTGAGAACTCCCTCTGGTTGGATTCCCAAACTGCTCTGCAGGTTGCTGGCTACAGCAGACTACCAAAACAAATATCTTACCATGATTAAGGTCAGAGCCAGGTCAGTCATTCACAGAATATTACATATCTTCTTGGAAGCAGGAAGCATTTGATATTTGATTTCCCTATACACCATTCTTTGATGGATTTTCCTTTTCTTTCCTGCAGAGGGAAAAAACTGTTATGTTAAAACTGTTATATGTATTTACATATAATGACTGATATATATTTAATACTGATTGTGCCCTGGAAAACCATTAAGGAAATGCATCTTCTGGCTCTGCAAAAGTATGCAATATGTTATTCTGCTGGAGTCTAAGGTAATACTTTGTGGAAAAGTGCGTTCACATGAGGACACTGGTCGTAGTGGCTTACATTCACATTGGTTATTTCAGTAAATGTTTAATTCCTGACTAGACTTCTGCAATGATTTAAGAATGATCTAGGAAAGGAACATGGCTACCAATTTAGATAGTCAAATTTACCTTGGTTACCTTGTTTATTATGGTAGGCTAATTTGATAGGGTAAAATCAAGGCTTCAGTTTTCTGTATATGTATCTACAGCTACAGAAAACTAGCTGACTAATGTTGTGGCTGAAAACTGAGCGATGTGTATACATACTTAAAAATCATTTGGCTCTAGAATTTTTGTACCAAAAAGATTGCTAAACCTGTGGGAGGACTTTTATTTTTCATTGTGCATTTTTCTCAATTTTTGAATTCAGAATTGATAGTTTGAATAGTTTTTTCCTTGAGTTTGACTTGCTTCACTTTCCACTCCCCTCGCTTTTAAATGCTAGAGCTACCAATGTTTTCTGATACAAGGAAAAACTAAAGATCCAGACAAGCTGTGGCATATGTCACATCTTTAGTAAGAATAGTGGTCTCACTCTCAGTATGCTGTAAATGTTGTGCTGGAATAGAGAAAAAAACTGGTTTTAGGAGGTCAGAAATAAGGAAAAAAAAAACGGTTAACTGAAATAAAATTGCTATCTGTGGCAAGATCAGCTATGTGTAACTGAAATTCCAAGATCATGTGAATGATGACAAAGCATTTTTCTGAACTTAGCAGCAATGATAAACACTGCTCCTTGGTAGACCAAACTCATAATGCAGTGTGAATTCTCTCACTCATAGGATCATGCAATGGTTAGGGTTGGAAAGAACCTTAATATCGTCTGGTTCCAACCCTCCTGTCCAACCTGGCCTCAAACACTGCCAGGGATAGATCATGTCATAGTCTTTCATGGACCTCAACACACAATGAATAGCCAAAGGAGACCAAGGTCAAAGTGCATTAAGCTAAAGAAAGACCCTGGAGAGACCAAAATACATATAATTTAGTTAATTCTAGTTTGGAGAAGTGCTTTAGTTTTACTAGTTGATTTGTATGTTGCTTAGGCACAACTTGTGCTCTAAATTCTTGAACACACAGAAAGATGGAATTTGAGGGATTAACAGATTGTGCTCAGCAGCACATTATTTGTGAAAGTGTATAACAAACCATGGAATATATTAATTTAAAAACCATTATTGGAAATCTTGTGTGCAAGTGGTTAAGCTGTATTGTCAAACTAGACAAAAAGTGTTAATTTTTGTGTTTTGTTTTTTTTTGTGTGTGTGTGAAACTAAGACAATTTTAGGCAATGTTATTTGGATTGCAAGCACTCCAGCATAGTAAGAAGGTTGCAAGTAAGAATAACAATCTGAGCTTATCTCCTGGCAAGTAGAAAGAAAAGTAAGATCAGAAATTTGTAGATCACTCTTATACCTTGCATGAAGGTAAGCACTTCTTCTTTCTGTACAAGTAAGCTCTATAATTAGTGTAATCCCCGTTTACACATAACAAGAAAAATCTATTTTTCTTCATTGTACCTGATTCAGATGTTTCCAATTAAATAACCCTGAGCCAGATACCACACACAACACAAAATAATGCAATACACTCCTTTAATGCAACAGGCTCCTAAATAATAAGATCACTTGACTATTTTTGGTTTTAGGCACAGCTCAAAGTAAAGCTGGGCCTGGTCAGGATAGTCTGTAAATTGCACATACCCAAGAGAAGCTATAACCCTCCTGTGCTGCAGGCCTATGTTTCCCTGTTTCCACTGTCTGTACTGAGAATGAGTCGGATGATGACTGAACTAGTGTAAATTATGTCATGTGTGATGTACCAGAGGAGACAGACAGGTATTTGTCTCCTGTTGCTTCGCCATCCTAATCTGGCTGTGTGGAAATCCTGCACTGTGCAGTTAGATTCTTCTACTAGCTTGATAGAGTGTGTAATCAATGATAAATTGTACTTATTTTGGCATTTGTCTTGTTATTTATGAGAGATTAAAATATGAAGTAAATCCTAATTCAGAGTGCCTGTAATGGATGGTTGGCTTTCCCTTATTGTTGCTCATAGTCCTTTAAACTACTTGTTGTTAAAGACTAAAATGGTAGAAGGAAATTGCCTTGGAAGTTTTTATGGCTCATTACCTTCCTATTTATTTTCCTAGCCTCCAGTGTCCTGGCCAAGATGTTAAAAGTCTTTGTTTTTTTTTTTTTTTTTTTTTTTAAAAAATGCTAAAACCATAATCCTCACTAATTTCTTTGCAGTCAGTTTTACGATTTAACTGGCCAGGAAACTGAAGTTCAGGGATGCCAGTCACTTTCCAGAGTTATTTTTGGATAGAGAGACTAATGTTCAAGGCAGGCATGTCTTTCACAAACATGGTGACTGTCTTCTAGGAAGCTATGGATGTGATTTTTGACACATTAAATCAAAACCTGAAAACGTAGAGACTGTCTTCTATCTAGGAAACCTGTCAGTGCCTGATTACTGCAATAAATACAGTGGTCTTTCATCCAAACAGCTTCCTTCACTGAAAGGGAAACACATAGATGCACATAATATACCTTTTTGGTTTCTTCTCTTCAATTATGCTAACAAGCTTCATGCTGAGAAAGGATTAAGGCTGGGGGACAATCAAAGACAATGCTTCTTTCTTGGTAAAAAGGTGTGAAAAGATATAGGCACTAGTGCTGGAGTTATTAGGCATACCTGCAGGAGGCCATATGACTAAGTTAGGCCATGAGAGACTGAAGTATAGAACATGCTTAGTCACTATTCTAAGCTCTTCAATGACATCTTTAACACCTTTTGATTCAAAAGGGAAAGCCACAATGCAAATATTCCCCTGGCAGGTTCTGCTCAGTGTTTGCAGCTCAGCAGGGCAGCACGACACCTGTCTGAGTAAAATTCCCAGTGGGAGACCTACACTCACCCTGCCAGTGGGGCACAGGCACCTGCAGGTGCTCAGAAAGCAAAGCTGAAGATTAAAGAGGTAGGAAGGTCCTCTGGAATAAGCCCTCTACCAATTTTACTCTGTATTCTGTAGTAGGGGAAAATTAAAAGGTAGAATCAAAAGAAATGTTATGTAAGTACCTCTAATACTTTTTATTAACCTTATTATTGTTTCTTTGGAGAACGTCAAAGAATAGCCAAAGCAAGATGGTCAGGGTAAGATAAAATTTCTTGTTCAATTGCATTACCAAGCAATTATGACTTATATTTTAAAATAAAATTTATACATGCTTTGGCTTCCTTGGTATTTTTTTTAAAGTCTTTCCTGAATATATTTTACTTTAATTTCAATCAGAAAGATTAGGAGATTGGATCAATTTTATTTCTTCTTTGTAGCTGGCTGTTTATTATCTCTTTTAAATTTATTCCTAACTTTGTATGTGCAGCTCTTTTTGGAACACCATAATTATATCTTGCCTGCTTTCTGCCCATGTGCACTACTGATACTAGCCTGTGAAACCCAGTGGTGTCCAATTGAACTAATCATAAAATACTATGTAAACATCTCCCTGCATCAAGGTTGTATATTAGGTTACATTCCACACAGACAATGTGAAATAAAAATATTGTAGCTGAGAAATGGGTATCTAATACAAATGTTATTAATGTACCTCCCAAAGACTGCTCAGAGGCAAAGGTGACCGCAGGGGCGGAGGTAGATGGTTACAGGCTGCCTTCTCTAACATCTGTGTAAATAGTGGAAAGGTGGCCCCTCTGAATTACAAGGGCTGCAGTTTCAAATATTAAACTACAAAAAAGTCTGTTACTGTACTAAAGAAATTGCCTCAAGTATCTTTTCTTTTTTCTTCTTGGCTGCTGGTACTAAGGAAAATACCAGAAGACCACCAAAGAAGAAAGGGGCAGGAAAAGGACATAGGCATAATGAATGCCAAGATTTAATTGACACAGTAGCAGCTCACACTGTCTGTTCTTTTTGTGGAGATGTAATCCTTTGAATGTTGATAACACAGTACTATATAGAACTGACTAGTATTCAAAAAAATAAAATTTCTTTAAAAAATATTCTTTTCCCCAAAAGCCAATAATTCTGAATATTAAAGCTGCTGAGCAGAATGTTTAGAAGAAGTTTTGGTAGTGAGGAGAGACAGTTAGCTGTTAAAAATAGCCTTAAAAACTATTGTTGCTGTAGAGGCATCAGTAGTCTAGAGGAAGGATAGACGGGTGGTTTAAAATGGAAAACTAGGGTTAAAACTTAAACAGGGGAAGTTTAGATTGGATGTAATGAAGAAGTTCTTTACTGTGGGGGTGGTGAGGCACTGGAATGGGTTGCCCAGGGAAGTTGTGAATGCTCCATCCCTGGCAGTGTTCAAGGCCAGGTTGGACAGAGCCTTGGGTGAGATGGTTTGGTGGGAGGAGTCCCTGCCCATGGCAGGGGGGTTGGAACTAGATGATCTTGAGGTCCTTTCTGACCCTAACTGTTCTGTGATTCTGTGACATGGAAAAACTATGTTTTGTCCTGCCTTTTCCAGTTTTCCTGTTGCTAGTTCCTGAAAGGCTATTTTGTTGTAATTCTGCTATGCCTGTTTTTTTCACCATCAACTTCAGCTTATATTTGCAAACAGGTGTTGAGGACCCTATGTAAGAATGCAAATCTGAGTGCATGCTACAATTTATAAATTGCTCCAGAGTGTGTTTTAAGCATGTATGGAAGGAAAATGTAGCTGAATGTAAATGCAGCCTGCTATTCACGTAGGAAGAAATCACCAGTTCTGAATTTTAGCATTTCCATTTTCTCTTCAGTGGATAGAAACATTGATACAGTGAGGCCTTATAACCAGTCCAAATATGCAAATATCAGTAAATAACAAAATTAGAGAAAATTTGAAGTTTTCCATAGCAAATAGTCACATGATCTTAATATCAATAACAACTTCTGATAATAATTCATTTATGTGAAAACTGCTTTTTGTGGTAGAATGTTTAATAAATTTGGGCAGAGCATGTATAAGAAAACTGGTCAGATCAGGACTCTCTTGCTGCACACTAGAAGTATTGTGGCCTTATTTTAGAAGATCCCTTAAATGAGACAATTCCATGAGGTACATGAGGAATTTCTTACAGGAAATTGTGAGGCTTAGTAATGATACAGAGAGATTTTCCTTGGACTCTTAATCATCACTGAGACTTGAGTCCACTGCAGGTGATTTACATCCATAAACACTATTTTGAATACTTCCATCTCTGCATCCTTGTGTTTTTTACACTTTCCTATAAAGTGTATATTTCAGGGCAATCTAGGTTTAAGTTCCAGTCTAGACAGAAGCTTACATGTTCCAGTTTCTGTTGGGGAAGGGAGGAAAGGCACACAGGGACAGAAGGAAGTATGGTACAAAATTACTAATACCTCAGTGATAAGTTAATTTACCTGGTTAGTGCAGGAGTCAAGTTGGCTTTTAACAACTGGAGGTAGAAGGCAAAAAATCAGGAAGTTCACAAGCACGCAGATATAACTGTTTTATGCACAGCATGTGGTTCTTCTGTATAGAACTCTTATAAGTTGTACTGATGATGGTCTTCCCTGTGAAAGTGTCAAAGGAATAGTTTAAAAATAAAAACAAACAAACCAAACCAAAGAAACTGCAGACAAACAAAACAAACAAAAAAAAACCCAAACAGCAAACAACCAGATCACCTGGCACCCAGCATATACAGCTGTCCTCTTATTTCTTCAAGGGGGAAAAAAAAGAAAAACTGACCAAAAAAAAACCCCAAACAAACTAGAAAACCCAACCCAAACACCCCAACACATTTTAATGGTTCGCTATTACAATATTTGAAAGTTAGGTCCAGAAAGGTATAAAATTACACATGCAATAATGTCAACACTGTGTACATATTTGAAGATTTTTATTGCCAAGCTGGCAGAAGATTGGTCAGAATAGTATAACTGAATTTCAGTACAACATTTTTTAGGTCCATATACAATGTAGGTATAAACTTAATGCTGTTGATGAGCCTCATTGCTTAGCAGTAGTGTCACAGTTCTTTTCCTTCCACTGTTTGCTAGCTTTGATTTCAGTGAAGCAGCTGATGACTAACCATGATGTTATCCAGATGAAGGCTTTTAAGCAAAACTCAGCAGGTATTCAGCTCAGCTGTAGCCATTCAAGGAAGGCAGAGTAAGATATGAAATAAAATCCCCTTGTATTTAGGAAGCAGTCTAACTACTGTGCTAATGCATAAAAAAAGTGGGTGGCTATTTGCAGGACACTTCTATTGGAAAGATAACTGCTGTTGTAGGTGCTGGGCTTAGCAGCCTGTGCTGACATGGGTGAGAGGCAGGAGCATCCTCTGCTTTGGTGCCAAATGTGTGTGGAGGTGTGTAAAGGTGTGCTCTGGGTGATTTAACATACAAGTGTGGGCAAGACCAGGCAGTTGTGTGGGTGTCTAAAAAAAAAAAAACAACTACAGCAGGTGCTGTGTTAAGGGGCTAGTATGTTCAACACCTCTGCAGAGCAGGCTGTTGACTGAACTGGTCTCTTGAGCTTGAAACAGTGCTGGGGAACTGGCAGCTGGTTTCTGTTTCCATCTCGGAGGAGGACTGGGGTGAACAGCACAAAAGTGCCCTGCTGCTATTGGGTGCCTCTTCCTAACTACTTTCAGATACGTAGAGGATCTCTTCCTCACACATGGAATAGCTGCTGAAATACTAGTACTGAATACACTGCCTGCTTTTAGCTGAAGTTAAAGCAATATTCATACAACAGTATGCTGCTCTATTGACAGGAACACAAGCATACTTTTTTATTGTATCAGCATTTACAACTTTCAAAATTTTTAATTGGAAGTTAATGATGTATGGCTCTTCTAGTAACTAAATGAATATTTGAACTGCTGCAACTTGCTTTAATAATTGTTCAGCTAATCATTTAAATTATCAAAGATCTTTACTTGTGCAAAGTCACATAAATGCTGAAAATTAAAAATTAATCAACTTGATTTACGTAACTAAAAGCTGCTATCTAATGGATATTTTCCAATAAGAAGACAGCAGTAATTATGCCGAAAAAATATTCGTTCTTGTAGTTTGAACGATTATAGCAATTTCCACCAGGGGATTTCGCAGTCAGGTTCCAGTTCTGGGCAACAGTGATTAATATAATGGTTATTAATGAGAATTCATTTTTCTACATCGAGGGGTGTTTGGGTGTCAGTGTTCCAAAAGCAATGTGGTTAGCATATTAATTATAAAAGATAGCTTTGGACTGGTGACTAAGTAACTATATTGATTTTTTTTTTTTTTTTTTTTCTCATTTTCTGTAATGTGAAAGGTCAATTAGACTTATAGAAACAATGGAGCCTTCACAGCAGGGACTATCGTTTCACTGTGCTGACATCTTTTTAACCATGTACAAAGTTCATTAAATGTGCAAAGGTAGTAACGTTAAAAGGAAGAAAGTGATTGGGTCAGAGGTCACAAACTGTGGCAAACTGACAGCCTCTTGTGGATTACGCCACGGGAGCTAAGTAATAGTGAGAATTGCTTTCCGGTTGCCCACTGGGACTGAGGGGAATGAAGTCATAAGCAGCTAATACTATTGGGTTAATTAAAAGGAATATTGACAGCAGCTTTGTTTGTTTTGTGCCAAATTGGATGCTGTTAACCAAGTATTTTATTGGCTACATAATATTAGTGAATTTTTGTCTTGAATAACAGATTGACAAATTTTAACATCGACAGTGTCCAGTAAAAATGTATTGAACCAAACATGTCTGACACTTGTACAGTCTTCTATTTCACTGTCTCCTTTTGCATTACATGTTGTCAGGTGAAACCCATTCAAGTAATTTTCCTTTCCATTGAAGTTTGCTCTCCCAGGTGTTAATGTCCAGGCCTTTTCACAGGAAAGTAACTAGCAGCCAAAACTCTCCTCTTAAAGAGATAACGTGGCTTACTAAATATAACTGGAGTGTCTGTTGTTCTGTTCATTTGCTCAAGCATTTATAAAGCTTTTAGCTCTTTTAGCTAGCCTCATTCAAAGCATGCTAGGCAAACCAAAAATCCCATCTTTAAGGACAAGATGTGTCATAATTTAGGACTTGATTTGATTTGTATTATTCTAATGTTTGTAGAACAGCTGAGTAAAGCATTAATGATTATCCTTGTGAAATTAATAACTTTAAGAGCACATCTGTGAAGATTTCAAAATTGATTGCCATTGCTGCATAAAAATTACAGGGTTTTGTACTATATATTCAAGAAGATAACACATTTTTATAAGTTTTCAAAGTGTTTTTCTTCACTGGAATGCTGAATATGCTAGATGTGACTAATTTGCTTGTAGTCTTCATCTGAAAACATCAGGTTTTTTACTTTTCCATGCTAAAAAGAACAAACTTGATGTGAAGTCTCCGTGTAGCAATATGTGTCTGATTGCTTCAAATCTTGTGTGATCGTTCTTTGATTTCAAAATGAGCTCAGAGCTGGCAGTGCAGTGAAGATGTACAGGTAGACTTCAAAGCTTTCTTCTTCCGTTTTCTGTTCTGACACTGCTGTCCCTTTGGTTTGTTTTGCAGAAGCCTACAGTAATACATACTTCAGTATTTGACAGTGTTGGCAAAAAATTGAAGCAGAAATATAATTACTCTCTTCTCCTTTCATATCTCAATTGAAAAACAGTGAAGATCATGTCTTGCACGTACAAGAGAGGAGCGTTATCAACTGTATTTAAGAAAACTGTAAAAGCATGTACTATTGTGATATAGCCAGATTGTTACAAAATAGTAATTTCTGCCTTTTAAAAACTGATCCTATTGCAAATCAGGAGGAGTGCTTGGAATGGTAGGAGACTCAAAAGGAATGGTTCATCCAAAGATTATTAGAGTGTCTTAAGGGTTGGATGACTTAAATTGAGAAAAGGACAAATCTGACATCTGACAGAAGCTAGCCTTCAGATAAACAAAATGATCTTTCCTTTCTGTGCTACCCCAATTAAACAGGTATACAGCGGTAGACAGCTTGTTTGGTAGTTACACAGTTGTGAGGGTGTGCACTCTGCACACAGTTTCAGTTCATTAATAACAGTCACCTCATTTCTTGCAGTGACTCTTCTCCAATACCTTTTTTTTTTTTGCAACGTATGGATTAAAATAAGCCCTTCATTTTGGCCTATAATCATTGTCTTGTAAAAATTCGCCCATTCAAAGCATCCAGGAATGTTTTGTAATAAGTTTTGTGCCATATGTCACGTTAGGAAGATAAACTTCTCATCTTGGAGCAAGTGTCTAAGCTCCTCAGAGTTGTTAAGGCTGGTTGCACAACAGCCCTGTCAGATACAGGGACTTGGGGCAGAGTCTTGCCCACCATTTCACAGCTGTATAGTATAGTACAACAGGGTTTTCATGTCCTAGCTTAGCATTCCAATTGCAAATTCATCTGCTTTTTTCTAAGAACTGGGTGTTATGTTGGTTGAGGTAGGTTATAACAAGAAATAAAACTTCTATAAAAGCTGAATAGTAATTGTTTAGTGGAAAGCTCAGCAGACATGAACTCAGCAGATATAAAGAAGGTGAGATGGCAAAGCAGCTTCTGCTCACGTATACTGAGTCTCTGAGGTAAAGAAATATATTCATGTTCAGTGGATAAGCACTGTGCTCTAGAGGGAGATAACTTGACACTTGTATTCACATCTTTCACAGTTCTCATCTGCAAGTGCTAACTTTTGACACCACTGTCTGTGCCTGAAGGGTACTGATGGCCACAGTAATACACAGTTGCTGTCCTCATATTGTAAGGCTGGCACCTGAAACATCTATAACCCTTCTAATGAAATAGCTCCATGAGTTTGCACTCCAAGCTTACGTGATCTAATTTGAAGGCAAGTAAGTGGGTCATATCTAGTACCTACGCATGAGCCCTCATCATTAGTGTGCCTGTTATCCAGTGTTGTGTAGCATATCTGCAGGGGTGCAATCTTGCCTCCGGGTGTCCCTGATATTTGTGGTTACTGATTAGTTGCTGCCACTGGCTCTTCCTGATAAATTCCACATGTGGAGGCTAAGACCTGCAGTAGTCTGATGTCATGATGCATTGAAAACGTGTAATGAGTTGCTTCATCAGGAGAACTAATTTTTGTTTTCCATAGCTACTTTTTAAAGTTATATGTCTGACTTGTTGACTGAGATTTATGTACAAATGCAGCATTGCCCAAACTCCACCTGCAACATAGCTTATACTTCAAATCTGCTGCTGCTTACAAAGCATTCTTTTTGTCTCTGCAGTAGATTTACACCTGAATACCAAGTTTGCTGAAAAAGCAATGGGGTGCAAAGGATTATAAAACTAATCAGATTAATTAATCTCCCTTTGTACTGATCACGAATGAAATATATTCTCATAGTGGTAAATTTTTATTCTGAAGTGATCAAAAGGTTTTGCCCTAGCGCATGTTAGTTCATTTAAAAACAAAACCAAACCATGTGGACCTGTGAGCTCCACTGCACCCTAGAACCCTGTGTGTCCGCAATGGATGTATGTAAGCCAGCTCCAAACCATGAGCTGTAACTGCCTGACAGATGCCTCAGTGTGCCAGTGCATCACTACTGCTTGCAGACAAGCACTGGATCATACATTGCCTCCTGAGCTATAGACGTTACCATGGTGGCTCTTCAGCCAAGTGTTGAAATAGTTCATGTTCATTTAAGTCTTATAAATGCCTAATGTCTGTCAGGGAGACCACTTTGACATCCCATGGCAGCCTGCCTTTCAAACAGCCTGAGATTTATAGCCTTCACAGCAGATACATTGATTCTGGGAGGGAATGTGGAACTCTTCTGTATCAGTCACTCTACCCTATCATATTTCTGAAGCTTCTTGCAAACAGAATCTTTCACTTCTCTTTCTATCATGTAAGCCGAAGTAATCACTTAATTTTTCTGGAGATTCTCTGTTCTAGATCTCAAAGATTTGCCCTCTCCCCCCTCCCCCCCATTTTAAAGAGTATTTATGGAGAAAGTCCCTCTTAAGAAGAAAGCTCTGTCACTAAGATTACAGCTCAGCTCTAAGGTTCATAAGCTAGAGAGTTTAAAAAAAAAAAATTAAAATCTGCTATTTCAGACATGATTACTTCAACATGACCCTTCTATTGTCCTTCAGGCTGATGTCACAGTTTTTTCACCTACAAGTAACTACCTTATTTCAATGTTAAAGGGGGTCCACAAGGCAACCGGAGAGGGAGAATTTTTACAAGGGCATGTAGGCGTAAGACAAGGGTTAATGGCTTTAAACTGTCAGAGGGGGAGATTTAGATTATAGTAGGAAGAAGCTCATTGAGAGTGGTGAAGCATTAGAACAGGCTGCCCAGAGAAGCTGTGGCTGTTCCATCCCTGGAAGTGTTCAAGACCAGGTTGTGTGGGGCCTTGAGCAACTTGGTCTAATGTGAGGTGTCCCTGCCCACAGCAGGCTGTTGGAACTCGATGGTCTTTAATTACTCCAACCCAAAACATTCTATGAAATGAAGAAATTATGCAGACTGCCTCCCAATTCTATTATGATGTGATGAGCTTGGGGAGAAAATTTTTTTATTTATTTGGGAGGAATATGACACCCTAACAGAAATGCATGGCTGGTTGTTACTTTTTCATGAAAAGATAATGGTGTAAAATGAATAGGAACAAAAATTGGTAAATACTTGTTCTTTAAACTTCTGTTTTAGAGATGCTGCCTTAGTGCAGAAATGGCTTTCCATCACATCTTTCTATGTGGAGACTGGTCATATTAAATTGACACATTATGATCCCAGGCCTCTCCACCTTCTTCATAAAGTTGTTCAGTGGCAACTCTTAATTTGCTATTCAGTTACACCCAGTAGGTTGTGCTACTCTTGAACCAGATCCTCAGATCTGTCTTCATTTCTTAATTGTTCAAAAGACAATGAACCAAATTGTGGTATTTTCTTGAAAGGAAAACTGTCTGGTTGTCATCACACTCTGGGGGAGAGGAGGGGAAAGGTTGTGTTACTCATGTATGTTCTGATTGTATTCTTCTCTGTTCATGTAAAAAAAAATAGTTGTGAGTCATCTGCAATGGTGAAACAAAGTTCTATTCTCTGTAACCTGAGAGAAAATGACCTGCTGGGTATCTATTTTCAGGTTCACTCTGCTAGTCTGTACCACTGTTCATGAAAAGAGAGTGGTAAAAGTTGAAAATTCCAAAAGTAAAAAAAGTGCACACAGTGGTAACCAAAAATTGATGGAAGCATATGTTTTCCCCTTATTCACCTTTATGAAAGATAATACCAGAAAACATGGATTTTTGAGATTCTGTAATTCTAAAATGTCACATTTAAAAAATAAAAAGCTAAAATTTAATTTTCAGACTTAAATAGAAATGTAAAACACTTTTAATTACTTCCAGATACTTAGACCTACATACAAATGCAACCTACCAGGCCATTCCTCTTGATTCAGTATCCTGACTCTGATCAAGATTGGTATTTAAAAGTAATGGCTAAGTTATGGAGTGAACTGTCCACAGGGACAGTTTTTCTCTAACCCTCATTATTTAGAGTTGGCTTATATTCCACAGCATGATGTTAAGCAACTGAGATACATCATCAGTGGTGGGAACATCTCAGTTCTGAAAATCAAATTATTTATGTTTTTCAAAACTTATAAATCAATGTACATTTCTTAAATGGAAAAACCATGAAATTCTGGAACAAGTTTCTTTCAAATGTATATAGTACTGCAGTATAACAATTCTATAGGAAACAAACTCACTCTTATTAAAGTCAGGCTTCATCTAATAGCTTCCACATACTTCAGGGTGAAAAAAAGTTATATACAAATGTCCTCAGTCTTTTGGAAAGGCTGTGACCTGCTTGATATTTAAAAGTCCACAGGAGTATATAGGAATGAACACAGCAGTTGTTCCCTCATAGTATGTTATTACAAAGAGAACTGGGGGTCAAATTGCATGAATGATAAATGGAAGGTGCTTGAAATGAGTTGGTTCTTTTTTGAACATTATACATTGACCTTGGCAGTTTTGACAATTACATCCATCATTTCTAAGAATCCATTCCAGAACACCCGTCTGTTCTCTAATGTGGCCAAGTAAACAGGATTTGTGAATACACGAATCAAAGATTGATCTCCTGTGCCTATACACTGATTAACAGTTGGTTTCCTGGTGCAACTTTTTCATTCTATGAATTATGTGAAGATCATAATTCACCATGGCACACCTGTAGACAAGCATGTTGGAATGCTTTAATCTTCACTCATGAGGTCTTGGTAGGATCAATAGTTGGCTTCTGAGTTTGATAAGCAAAATGGAATAAAACCATTAAAAAACACATTGTACATAGCAAAAATGGTGTTTAACTGCCTTAGTGTTTTCTCTAGCAACAGAACTTGCTGAAGACAAAGATGGGACAAACCAGCGCATAAAAACAATTTTCAGGCACTCAAAAAGTAAAAAGAAATATTTCTGCTTGGAATTTGCAGCTAATGCATCTCAGACTGACCATGTAAACAGGCCTTGTAATCCTAAAACAGATAGCAAAGCATACTTATAACAGCAATTTTTAATGGGGAGGTACTCTTGAGTAATACCTCTTGATCAAAACATTTCTATTAGCCTGGAAGGTGTTATGTTGCATCAAAGTTGACATGCGACTTAGCAGTACAGTAGTGCACGTAGAATCTGTGCAGAGTTGTTGTATGCTTTCCAGTATATTTCTACATATTCTGTAACAAAAGACAAGGAAAACAATGCAAAGCTGCACTGGAGAGATAAAGGCTGAGATGACTGAAAACCTACACAGAATAAATGGATGCAAATTGAGTCTGAAGTCCCAGGGTGAGGACACCCAAAGCTCTGTCTCCTTGGAAGGGATCGAAGCAGGGACCATCCCAGCATGTTTAGAGTCTGGACTTGATGTTCTTAGAGGTCTTTTCCAACCTAGCTGATCCTATGAATCTATGGTAATTCTGTTATAATGGCAAAATCTGAGTTCATAGAATTAATGTAAGGGCATAAGCTATGGAGGCAACCCTAAAGTAGATCTTTATCTCACTTTCATTTAGTTATTCTCAGATTTAGCAGAAGTGAAACTAACGGGAGCTCTAAGAGATAAGTAGGTGGCTGGTGTGAAAGGGTGCAAGCTTTGTGGAAATGGGCATAGTGCGAGAAGTGGGCACAGGAAAATATTCTATCTTTAGCTATGGTAAGAAGTTTTAATAACTTGTGTACACTTTGACAGGTAATTGTGCAATAGTTGTGTGGTGGTTTGTTTTTTTTCTTTGGTACAAAATTACTCAGAATTTGAATATATTGGTAAAATTAAACAGAATCTTGACTCTGAAAAAGACTCACTGATTTTTAATTTTACC